TGAGAAATTTTAAATTTATAATTTACAATCAACAGGTTACATTTTCATGTTCCACCGGTTACCTAATCAAAAAAATCAATATGGCATATTGTTCGTGTCTAAAGTTAATTGTAAGTACGTATGCAATCAATCTTGGATGCTGAAACTATGGTACATGACATCTATAATCAAAATAAATCGTATGATTTAAAGTTCTATGGATTTTTAATTAGAAAGTAAATTCAAAATTTAATCCGTAACTATGATAGGTTAGGCTTGGTTTTTGAATTTACGTACTTCCTAATTAAGAAGTTGTGAGAGTACATGCGTAGTTTCTTATTTGTAGAAAGTTTTAAGAAAAAAAGCTTAACCTTACGAATTGTAAAGATCAATATGGAAATTTGAAATTAAATGATCCGAAAAGAGTTAACTTGTGCATTACGTATATGCCATTTAGATTTCGCGTTCTTCTGGCACTTTCTGAATTAATCATCATTGTTATTAATTATAAATGATCTGACACAAAAAATCATGTCTCTGATATAAAGTATATTTGAATTCTCCTTATAAAGAAACGAAAGCGGTAATAAATATTTAGCAAAATGGTTAAAGTACATGTACTCGGTAAGAGCTGGTCTGCATTAGTAGTGAGCGTATGATTCGTATCTCAATAAAAATTTCTCCAATTTAGTACATGTATACACTGAGAAATCTAAACTTTATTTTTACATGTATTAATTTTTTGGTGTATCTCGCATATTGAAGATAATCGATACGTTGCTCTAGCTTATGAGATTTGTGCATTAAATAACAAAAATGTTATGGAAAACGTATAGACAAATACCGTATTTTGCGGGCCATAGTACCCCGGGTCTTTTACAAATTTTGAACTATACCCAGTACTTTGCAAGTCATAAAAGGGGAATGAAACTATAAAAGAAAATCTTTTTATTTTATATATTGAATATGTGATAAACTCTGAACTCAATCATATCAAAAGTTTTCATATAAATGTTATGCTATATCGTGAATCTGAACAAAATTTTTTTAGGGATACTTTGCATAGGGAGGGTACTATGGCCCGGCAATGCAATGATAGTTCACAAATTCAAATATTTATAGCTTCGAGTCAATCAAAAAATAAAATTGCTCTAAAGTTTCTATATAGATATCAAAAAAATCTAACTTTCTAATAAAAATAAAAATTAAAAACCTAAAAAAAATAGAAGGAAAAATTAGAAATACCATTCGAATGCTTTTTTCTCATCTTTTTGTTTCCAATTCCAATTTGCTAGGTATATCCTAGCAAAAATTAAGCTTAAGGGTTGTTATCATTTGATAACTCTAATAAATTTTCGGTGCTAATGCAACAGTATAATTATAGGTTGATAAAGTAGCTTATGTTGACATTTATTTTTGAATCCAAAAATTTACTAACTCATAAATTGTAATACCGATACAGTTGTATTTGTCATTTAAATTTTCTTCTTTGCCGAATAAATTATTTAATATTTACTAATTCGTCAATAATTTAAAATTTCCAATTTTATGTTAAAGCTTTCTCTGAATTGTTGCCAAACTGATTCATATTAAATGTCACGTTGTTGTTCTGTGACCAATGAGGGTGTGAGGTGTGACTAACTGTAACCCAAATCAACAAACCGTTTAATTTATTGTTGCGTGGAAAGTTTTCCGTATTTCTTAAGAATGCGGTCAATAACACGCTGTAATTTAAATTTCATTCAAAAGTTTCGGATAGCCTAATCCGCATGGCTAAATTTATCAGTCAATATCGAAAAATTTGTGTATAAATAATTGTTAAATATTTTGCGCGTGTAATTTGTGGTAAGAACTTTCAACCGAGAAATGTTTTAAGCAATAGCGTAAATTTATAAGTTTTAAGTTTTTAGCTATTATCAATACCTCTTGGATAAGCTGAATAAGCTTATTTGTTTCGTAATTTAATTTAAAGTTACAGTTGAATATTCGCCCTATAAAAAAAGCAAGTACGAAATTACTCGGCATGGTACGTACATGCACGGGAAACGCGACAAATGAACACGTTTTGGCACGAGTTTTTTTTAGCACGAAACCACACGCATAAGTACGGACTGTCAAATTCGTGACATTTCCGTGTTAGAAAACCATGACCAAAACGTGTTTATGGAACTTGTCGCATGTCCCGTGCTTGTACATACCGTTTCGTACCATTCCTTGCAATTTTCGTGGTTTTTACATGCTTAGCAATGCTCCATTTTTTTCATTGTGGATTTTATGTTTTCAATAATAGTATGTTTGACATTGCCATCGATTTGGTTTTGTTAGCTAAAAATCTATTCATATATTGCTTTATTGTCTATTAAAACGAAAGTTTCGACAAAAACCATGCAATGTTGTTTGCCTATCCAACTAAATTTCTATAATATAATAATTTGCGTTTCAATTTACCATCTTTATTACTGATTAATTAAGAAGCGAATGTATGCATTTTTCATGTAAAGCTGTTAAAAATCTGCTAGTCGTGATCGATCACAAAAGTTTCCAGTATAAACGTCAACGTTAAACTTTATACTATTACTAGTGTTTGGACTCGAGTCAACTCGGATACTCTTCAAGTCTACTTTCCACATGTATTTTAAATTCAACGAAAATGACATAATGCAAGCCTTTAGGCAAAAAATTTTCTATGTCAGATTTGGTACTTTATTAAAGTAAATTGTTCTATATATAAAATTTCGACATTGAAAGCATGATAATAACAAAGAAAAATGCACAAAATGGCATTACATAGCATATTGTAATTTACATTCTTGCTACGCCGCATACTCCGGGTTACTATGTGATTCCTAAGTTTCACTCCGTTCCGGAGCTAGAATGATGATCTATTTTAAATATAGCCAATGAAACAGTTTCGTGATTAAAAGTCCAACAAAAAAATGAATTCGTTTTTTGTTAAGTCAAATGAATTAATGATTCTGGTAATTTAGAATATTCCTGACGCGAAATCACTGATTCTCCAAGGTATGAAAACAGATTCGAAATATAGTATTTGGATAGTGTTATGACAAAAGAGAAAGAAAACAATTGTAGGACCAACCGGATGTGGGTGAATAAATTCATGATTACATATTGTTTCCTAATTTTATTTTTATCTTTTTTATTTTGAGATACGAGTATGTAGCTTGTTTTTTTATAATCATCAATTTTATTTTTTTTTGAAATATGAAACTTGTTTAGCTTTTATCTAGTCAAATTAATCATGTGATTTTTATAAATACATATACTCCGGTTTATGTTCGGATATTTTTTATGGTGCGTATTTTTATTTATAGATTTGTATCAAAGAAACTATCATCTATGTCTTAGCGTTAGAAATAACAATTTTGTCAGATATCCCACAACATTTAAATGAACGGTTAATTAAATTTGGATCAAGAGACACCCACACAATTTCTACCCATTTAGCGAGCAATTAATATGAAGGTTTTTTTTAATACGGTTTGAAGGTGAATTTCTGACATCCATTGATTATATAGTGCACGGATCTTTTAAAATTAATTTTTAAATATGTATATACGTAACGACAAACAAATAAAATATAATAATTAAAATTTATATATACCTTCATCTTAAAACTTTGTTAACAGCAACATCTAATGGTTGCAGTTTAGATGTTAGCCCTCCAGGAATTACAGCAAGATTTGTATTATTTTTTATGTTTAACTGAATCAACTAAATGTGCACGAAAGGAATCAAAACTAAAAGAGAATGTGGATTACTTAAAGGTAATCTTTTAGTCTAAATATTTTCACCCACCAAAACATTTCTTCTTCATTAACCCAACCTTTTTCATTTACACGAATAAATACATTACTAGGAAAGCTTTCTCAAGGTATTTTTTTAGTTTAAAAATACAAACTGGAAGTAATTTTGTCCCATCAGCTATGCATCCAAGAACCACAGTGAAATTTTTTCTTTCATTACCCATAGTTCGAAGGCTAATTATGTGGGCGTCACGTTTGTCGATTGTTGTCGGATTTGGGAAATCAAAACAAGAGGAGTCTCGTTCATATTTCCAATTGAAAATGAAGGGTAATTATATTGAATACGTTGATTTAAAATAAAAGTAAGGAAACTTTGTTTTTTTTTCTTGACGTCGGTTTGACAAATTATATCGATCCAAAAAACCATCAAGCCATCTATTCGAAAATTTAAAATTTTGTATATCCGATAGATTTTGGCAATCAATATTCCGAGCAAGTGAAAATGTCTTCGTAATCACCAATGTTCTAGTAACAATCTTTTATAATTGCCGTTGTTTATTAATCCATTCAGATAAGGCTTCTTCTAATTGTGGATATTTTGGTAATTTTTCTTTATGTAATTTAAAAGTTTTTGGTGATGTTTTATTTATCCATTCCCGTAATTGCTTGGGCTGGATATTAAATTTTTTACTTCACGAATAGAAGTTTCATTTTATTTTTTTCATTTTACATAATTTTTCTTGCACACCAGGTTCTTGCCTTTAAAGCACTTCTATTACTGATTATGACCATTTCAAATTAATATCTTCATTGAAAAATGTCAATTATTTATATTTCTTCAGATATAAATAACAATAAATTTTCTTGCGAATATAATTATACGTAGAGATTATTCAAAACAATAACGATAAAACCCGAACATAATTTTTTAAGTATATCGCACACATAATAAGACTTTTAAATACGGCACAAAGAGTTATTAAGAATATAACTAAATTATTCAGTTCTTTTATTTAATTAGAAAATATTCATTATTTGTAAAAATTACATGAGTTTCTTGATTCGACTTTAGATATTATCGTTATGCACATGTGCATGTATTATAAAAAATTTAGATACATGTACGTACCGGAACTTGATTAAATATTGGCCCTTGTTCTACATTTTGGTAATCCCCTGTTGATACATATTACATGAACATCAACTGACGTGATAGGAGAAAAATCTTTTATTATTTTTCTCTCCAATGAATTAAAAATGTATGACGAAGCTCATCCAAAAATTTCTTCTTATGATCCAAAATCATCAGCACTCATTGTAATTGACATGCAGGTTATTACAAGAAAAAATAAACTATAAAATAAAGCTTCTGTTTATATTGTTTCAAAAAATAATAGGAAGAATTTCGAGGTTGCGCAAAGGGAATTTTCTCAAAACTTGAAGAACTTATTAAATTTTGTCATAATCAATCAATTCCTGTGTTCTGGACTCAACATGGTCATGAAGTAGACGAAAATGGAAACATCATTGACCTTGAAAATCCTTTAGTTAATTGGGTACGTTCTAAAAGTATTGAAACATTTCGAAACTTAGATAAATTTTATTATCTTTCTTATTAGTGGGGTGTTGAAAAGTTGATCAAGTGTGGTACTGAAAAATGGGAGATTTTAAAAGAGTTTATTCCTTTAGTTCAGGTAATTAAAATAATTAAATTGACTCCTTTCAGATCAGTTATGGTATTAATCAAATTCATTTGTTATTATCAGGAACATAAAATTATTCCTAAAACAAAATATAACGCATTTTCTGAAACTAATCTGCATGCTTTGCTTTGCGAACTTGGAATTAAAACAATTATTATCTCTGGCGTAACGACAGATCTTTGTTGCACATCAACTGCTCTAGGTAAATTCTGTTGGTTTGTTTGTTTTGATTCATTTATTTCAGATTACAGACTTAACTAATTATGAACATTATTAAGGTGGAATTGATAAAAATTACAAGGTCATATTTTTGAGTGATGGATGTGCAACTGCGAACACTGAATTGCATCAGGTTATTACATGTATTTTAATAATCAGTAAAACATATACATTTTTACAAATTTTGATAATGATGATAATTTTATTTAGGCAACAATAACAAGTCTAGTTCGTGTGTTTGTAATAGCAACAATCAAGGAAGTTATGAAGTGGCTAGGATAATTGATTTAATCGATCAATATCTTGTTTATCAGAAAACAATTTAAAAACTTTTTTATTGACTTGTTGACTTGAAATAATTCATTAAATATAAGAATCAGACATTTATTCCATTATTTAACAATTTCCGTTTAAACTTAATTTCGTTTTCCATCTCAACTCAGTATAGAATCAATTTTCGTAGCATAAATAATTTCACGATTTACTTTAATTGATTTTTTTAGCGATGGTGCCAGCTAGCCAAGGCACAATCGAAATTGAGGAGCTACTTAGAGATTATTCCATTCCATCCTCCACATTCTCCAAGACGACACGCAAAAGGAGGACATTATGAAATTACAAGAGAAGAAAGTACCGGCAGAGTCAACTACGCAATCAAGGTATAATTTTTTGTCTTCTTAACAACCAGATGCTGAGTAAGTACTTATCATTGTAATTTATTACAGGATTCCGAGAGTTTGATTTGCATTACTGAGGATAAACCGCATAAGGTTCCCATGGGTTATGCACAAAATATAACGCAATTGGAGAGCTCATGCGAAAAGCTAATAAGGTATTCGGCAATGATGGTTTCTGTAGGTACAGCATTGCGAATTTTACTGCGTAAAATGATAGGGAGGGACTGGCACTTTTTGCTACATAGCCCTGGCAAAATTTTGCAGTGTAACAAATGGACATACACCATCGAATTTATCGACGATGCTTTACACACAATTAATCGAGTTTACAAAATTAAAATCGATATTTAGACTAAATAGAGATAATAAATATTCAACTCAGATAATGAAGCAAATATGTAATATAGAAAGAGTATTTACCCGTTGATCAACAAAAAACAAAGGTAATAAGAAAAGGACAATTTAGAAAAAGCGAGTAATCACGAAACTATTTTTATAAAATGACCGGAATATGCACAGCGATAAAATTACTCTGAAGTTTCTATATCTAATAAATGATTTTAATAAGATATTATGAAAAATAATCTTTTTGTGTGTCATCATTGTCATTTTTAGCATTATTAATATCATCAGAAACACCAGCTCCTTCATAACAGATAATCCCATGACTGATTTCAAATGCTTATTCAATTTTAATTATATCTAAAGCTCTGTTCGTGTCGGGTCGGATTCGGATCGGGTTTGATCCGTAAATCGTAAAATAGTTTTTCATTAATAACTTTTATTTTTACTGACACTTGTATTTTGTGCCTAAGTAGAGTTGTTCGGAATGTAATTGTGTATATGCCCACAAATTTTCATTTAATTCCAATTAATATTGAACGAAAAATGACGTTTTTTTAGGCTGAACCGAATTATTTCGGGTCGGGTTTGATCCCAATCCGACCCGACCCGAAATGTGCGTTCCGGGTCGGGTCACGGATCGGACCCGACCCGGTTAGAGCACTAATTATATCAACCAAATATAGTTTTCTACCCTCTGCTGATTACTCAACTGCTTTTCCCTCATCTTTTTGTGTTCCGATTCCATTTTCATAACAAAGAACCTAGACCACGTTGTCCAGCTGCATCTCCGCCTTCTGCTGATTTCAGATACCACTCAACTGCTTTTCCCTCATCTTTTTGTGTTCCGATTCCATTTTGATAACAAAAACCAAGATTACATTGTCCTCTTGCATTTCCACCTTCTGCTGATTTTAGATACCACTTGAATGCATTTCTCTCGTCTTTTTGTGTTCCGATTCCATTTTCATAACAAAAACCTAGACCACATTTTCCAGCTGCATTTCCACCCTCTGATGATTTCAGATACCACTCGAATGCTTTTCTCTCGTCTTTTTGTGTTCCGATGCCTTTTCGATAACAATTACCTAGACCAAATTGTCCACCTGAATATCCACCCTCTGCTGATTTCAGATACCATTCAAATGCTTTTCTCTCGTCTTTTTGTATTCCGATTCCATTTTGATAACAAAAACCTAGATTACATTGTCCAGCTGCATCTCCACCATCTGCTGATTTCAGATACCACTCGAATGCTTTTTTCTCATTTTTTTGTGTTCCGATTCCATTTTGATAACAAAAACCAAGATTACATTGTCCAGCTGCATCTCCACCTTCTGTTAATTTCAGATACCATTCAAATGCTTTTCTCTCGTCTTTTTGTGTTCCGATTCCATTTTGATAACAAAAACCTAGACTATATTGTCCCATTGCATCTCCACCTTCTGATGATTTCAGATACCACTCAAATGCTTTTCTCTCACTTTTTTGTGTTCCGATGCCTTTTCGATAACAATTACCTAGATTACATTGTCCACCCGCATCTCCACCATCTGCTGATTTCAGATACCACTCGAATGCATTTCTCTCATCTTTTTGTGTTCCGATTCCATTTTGATAACAAAAACCTAGACCACGTTGTCCAGCAGCATCTCCACCTTCTGCTGATCTCAGATACCACTCGAATGCTTTTCTCTCATCTTTTTGTGTTCCGATGCCTTTTCGATAACAAAACCCTAGATTACATTGTCCAACTGCATCTCCACCTTCTGCTGATTTCAGATACCACTCGAACGCTTTTTTCTCATCTTTTTGTGTTCCGATTCCTTCTTGATAACAAAAACCAAGATTACATTGTCCCATTGCGTTTCCACCTTCTGATGATTTCAGATACCACTCGAATGCCTTTCTCTCATCTTTTTGTGTACCGATTCCATTTCGATAAAAATTGCCTAGACCACATTGTCCAGCTGCATTTCCACCTTCTGATGATTTCAGATACCATTCGAATGCTTTTTTCTCATCTTTTTGTGTTCCGATGCCTTTTCGATAACATTTACCTAGACCGCATTGTCCACCTGCATCTCCACCTTCTGTTGATTTCAGATACCACTCAAATGCTTTTCTCTCGTCTTTTTGTGTTCCGATTCCATTTTCATAACAAAAACCTAAATTACATTGTCCACCTGCATCTCCACCTTCTGTTGATTTCAGATACCACTCAAATGCTTTTCTCTCATCTTTTTGTGTTCCGATGCCTTTTCGATAACAATTACCTAGACCACATTGTCCACCTGCATCTCCACCTTCTGATGATTTCAGATACCATTCGAATGCTTTTTTCTCATCCTTTTGTGTTCCGATTCCATTTTCATAACAAAAACCTAAACTAGATTGTCCAGCTGCATCTCCGCCTTCTGATGATTTCAGATACCATTCGAATGCTTTTTTCTCATCCTTTTGTGTTCCGATTCCTTTTCGATAGCAAAAACCTAGATTACATTGTCCAACTGCATCGCTACCTTCTGCTGATTTTAGATACCACTCGAATGCTTTTCTCCCGTCTTTGTGTGTTCCGATTCCTTCTTGATAACAAAACCCAAGATTACATTGTCCCCTTGCATCTTCACCCTCTGCTGATTTCAGATACCACTCAAATGCTTTTTTCTCATCTTTTCGTGTTCCGATTCCTTTTCGATAACAAAAACCTAGATTACATTGCCCAACTGCATCTCCACCTTCTGATGATTTCAGATACCACTCGAATGCTTTTCTCTCATCTTTTTGTGTTCCGATTCCTTCTTGATAACAAAAACCAAGATTACATTGCCCCATTGCATATCCACCCTCTGCTGATTTCAGATACCACTCAAATGCTTTTTTCTCATCTTTTTGTGTTCCGATTCCATTTCGATAACAATTACCTAGACCACATTGTCCAGCTGCATCTCCACCATCTGCTGATTTCAGATACCACTCGAATGCATTTCTCTCATCTTTTTGTGTTCCGATTCCTTTTTGGTAACAAAAACCAAGATAAAATTGCCCTCCAGCACATCCACATTTGGCAGATTTCGAATACCATTCAAATGCTTTCTTAGCATCTTTTTCTGTCCCAACACCGCTATAATAGGCAGAACCAAGACTATATTTTCCCCTAGAATCTCCCCCCTCAGCTGATTTAATATACCACTGAAATGCTTTTTCAGGGTTTCTTTGTACTCCTACTCCTCCCTCATAGCACTTTCCAATAAAATATTGTGCCATAGCATGATTGTTGATTGCTGACTCTTCGAAAATTTTTGCTGCAAACTCTAAATTTTTATTAATTATACAACCAGTATAAGATAAAAATCCTAAGAGTGTCCAATATTGAATTTTGTTTTTAGAATTGTATAAAAAAGTATAAAATGCATAAACGTTGAAAGAATCTGGAGCGTTCTGTTGATAATATAATTCTAGCGATCTGCCAATTGTCAAATCATCTCTTTTGTAATCAAGTTGTTTATTCAGCAAATTTAATAAATCATCAACAATAATTTCAGATACGTTGTTCGGAATTGAAAGTTCTTCATTATAAGATGCTAAATCTTTAGAGTCTTTACAATGACTATTTGATGAATCTGAATTTTCGGATAATTGTTCTTTAGAGATTGATGACCATACTTCGGAACTCAAAGTAGGTGATCCTTTAGATGAAGTTTCAGGTGGCGACCAAACTATTGCTTTTAGATCTTGATTTACTTTATTTATAGTTGGACGATTTGCTGGTGTATTGTCCCAACAATTTTGATAGAGTTCGACATATTCAGGAGGAGTTCCAAATATTGTCACAAGAATATTTTCACAAACGCATCCATATTTATTAGATGGGGGGCGACCGCTAGAAATCATCCATAATAGAACACCAACACTAAAAATATCCGACCTTTCGTCTCGTCGAAAATTATTCGGATCCTTTAGAAAAGCTGGATCAACATAGCTTATATTTCCATACTCAGTTTTCGAATTGAAATCATCGTCTGAGAGTTTTGAATAACCCAAATCTGCGATTTTAATTTCTCCGTTATGAATAAGGATATTATTATGGTTCTTTGATATGAGAAAATTAAATAAAAGATTAAAATTCACTTAAAGTTGAAAGAAGTGAATATGATTCTTACCAAATCTCTATGAATAATGCCTTCATCGTGTATACACTTTACACCTTTTGCAAGTTGTCGGGCTAAAGACAACTTGTCACTTCCTTTTAACTCAGGAAAATTTTTTTCCAGATAATCTCGAAGGGTTCCGCCATTAGCATAATTAAAAACCAACATGTATTTTTGAATACTAGGATCTGGTAGAGTCGAAGTTTATAATATTTATTCAGATTTTACAGATGACGATAATATATTAATTGTAACATTTACCTTTAGTAATTCCATAAAAATCAATAATGTTTGGATGATAATCAACTTGAATAAGGACTTTTAGCTAATTGATATATAAAATTTCATTATATTTGTGATTGAATTATCAGATAAAGTAATAAATTTACCTCCTTAACGAATTCTTTTTGATTTCGTTCGTAGTTTTTATTTTTTACATAGAGACCTTTTAAAGCTACCCTCAAGTCATCGTTTAAAGTTGCTTTATATACTTCGCCAAAATGTCCATTTCCAATTACTTCTCTATCTTTAAAAGCGTTAAAATCAAAATATTTGAGGATTTTTTCTGAAATTGAAGTTTCTATCCATGATACTAAGGAAGATGAAGACATTCTGGTAGATTTAGTTTTTCTGTGGTGTACTGTAGCATGCATGAAATATGTGCTAGGTTGATGGCACAGCATGTGGCACAATCTAATCAAATTACAAAATTTGAAACTTTAATTAAAATTTCGGTTCTACATTATAAGAATGGTACATGTACAGTAACCCCAAAAAGTACGTAACGTCCGAAAATGAAAATTCCAATACATATCCGATTTATCTTACGTATTTCTAGCAATTTATGCATTAAATACATGTAAAAATATATTTAATTAATATTTTGTCGGTCCTCCATTTTCCTTTAATACTGCATCAATCCTCCTTGGCATTGAGGCAATAACCTCTTCAAAACAAAGACATCAAGCCTCTCTCATTCCTCCTTTAGCGCGACCTTGAGTTCATTCACAGTCCTCAGAATGACCTCATAATTTTGAACATTGTCCTTCAACACCTTCCAAATGTTTCGATAGGATTCAAGTCTGGCGAATTTGCTGGCCAGTCGATAATCGTGATTTTATTTTCCATCAACCAATTCTTGATTTTTCCCGCGGTATGGATTGGTGAAATGGCAATAAATTGGTTTTTAAGTTTTCAAGGTAAGTATTTGCATTTATTTTTTCGTCGTTTTTTTTTATATTTATTACAAAAATTAACGGTCCTTTTAATTCTCCTGCGAAAAGTGTTTTTCATGGTTGCTAAGAGCTGGAGGTCTTCCGGAACGTGGTAGTTTCCACTTTTTGTATTTGTTAATAAAGCGGCGTATTGTTGTAGGGTCACGTCCAAGCATTTTTGCGATTTGGACGGCATTTTCGGTTTCCATGCACATGTATATTGATTTTAAAAAATGGTTACACATGTTACTTTTTGGGGTACAAAATTTTTTGTTAGAACACAAAAGGCAAAATTTCGAGATACAGTATCGGTATCGTCCCTGCGATTTGATTTGTCGTCAAAAAAAGTGGTCTATCAGTGATGGACAAAATTAAATTTTAGTGATATCGATATCAACTGTCCAACACTGACTTTTTCGTACATGTATTATAAATTCTTGATACATGTATATCGATATGTATAACGATAACGATATTTACAGAATTATCCCCCGACCTATCATTATACATGTATCGAGTTTGACTGTATATACATGTACTTTGATTACATTTCACTGACGGTCCCTATTTACTTTTCTTTCTGTTTCAAGATCTTGACAAAATTCATTTTGAATTCTATAATATGTAATACTCTATAAATGAGGCAATTTTTTCTTGACGTGTCTGCGGAATTCAAAAGAAAAATAATAATAAAACAGTATTTAAATTTCTTTAAATGTATTTTTGCATTATTAATGTTAACGTTAATAATTCGGTACATTAATATCGATACATGTATAAATGCATGCACTATAACGGAGAAGGATTTATGTATCGTAACTTACACCTAAGTATATTGTTTATTTGGACTTACCGATAAAAATCTAAACAAGAAATTTACGGAGTGCTTCCTTATATTAGTCTAGAGGTGCTTAACGGAAAACCATACATTCAAGCTGCAGATATTTATACTTTTCAATTGGTAATTAGAATCCTTTTTGTTTTCTATTTTTAAAGTTTAAATGAATCATTTGATACATGTATTAATAATTGCTAACTCCGAACTCAAAAACTGTTTTCTAATGCTAAAACGTGATCGTTCACAAAAAATATTAATGTGATAAATCCATATCGATATCGATATTAAAACGCATGAAATTTGTACACAGCATGTGATTCATCAAATACAGTCAAACCTCGACTCGATACATGTATAACGAAGCATTAATAAAACCTGGATAAACCGAATTTTTCAAAAGTTTTTACTAGTAGCCTGATCACTTCGTTATATCGGCGTTTGACTGTACACTTACGGAAAATATTCAGATCACAATGGTGATGAGTCAACGATCAATGATTCAATCACAACATAATTTATTGAAAATACATAACGATAAGCAAGCGATTCAAACAATAGAAAAGTTAATAATTTCCCCTTTCACCTTTTACTCTAATTATTTCCTTACATCTTCTCGTCATTGATTCGATTAATTAACAAAACCTCATCCGGGGTTCTATCCCATTTCTCAATCTCCAAATCGTCCAAATTTTGTGGGTTTTTCTTCTCCACGCTTCTTTTAACAATTCCCCATAGGTTTTCAATTGGGCTAAGGTCGGGACTATTTGATGGCCAGTCGATTATAGCTGGAATATTTTCTTTGATAAAATCATGGCTTTACGACGACTTTTGTGTTTTGGCTCGTTGTCCTGAAACCTTCCATCATTTCTTCGATTTTTTGGGAGTTGTTCTGGAAGGATTCCGATGTAAAATTCAGCATTCATATTTCCAAAAAGCAATAAAGACTAGTTTTACCGCGAGCAGAAAATCCGCCCCACGCATGGATTTTTTTGTCGATTTTTAGGAATAGGTTGTCTGGGTCGATTATGCTTATATTACGTTTCATCTGTAAATAGAGTCTGTGACCAATCATCGTTAACGTGTGTTTTTTGCCCATTCGTTGGTGCTCAGATGTGAGCATAGACAAGTGTGAGAGAATTTTTATAGCCATGACTATAAAGATCCCTTTGAACTGTATATTTTGAAACCTTTAAGTCTTTTTCTAACCAAATTGGTTGCAACAGCGGTAATATTTCTTGGACGACCTGCGCCACGTCTTTGAACTACATTTCCTGTTTTTTTTTTGGTTGTAATAAATTGTTGAGAGTCCGATACCAGTACGACGCTGAATTTCTTTTGCAGACCGTATCCCATTCTTCCACAAGTATAAAATTATTGTATTACGTATGTTGCATTTAGGGGAGTGACAAATATTCTAGGGGAGGGATGGCAAATCTCAGGCATGAATATGGTGCCTAAAGCCATCAAATGCTGCGCCACTGCTGAAATTTGAAATGCATGTATGAGCCACATGAAGCCAATGAAAATGTTGTATTAAGAATATACATATAATATGAATCATGTTTATATGTGAAAACATGAGAAAACCAATCATGTATTTTTGCATGAGGTAATCCAACCAATCAGAAATTGTTCACGTGATACAGCCAGTGCTGAAAATTGAATTAAAAGTGATCTCCGAAAAATTATAACTGTTCATTAAATTAATATAATACTGTACAAAAAATACATCAAAAGGTATTTAACAACGTAATTTTTCGTGATTAAAATATTGGATGGCTTTAGACTGCGCGCACTATATAATTTCATGTGCATGTGTTAAATGAAATCTCAGGAGATGAGAATAATAAAATGGATATTAGCTAATATTTGTCACTCACCTTATCTTTTTTATTAAACCACATATTATTTTTGTCACGTGAAGATACTTCAAAAAATTTTGCTCACGTTATATTTTTATATAACAACTAGAACCAAGATGCAACTTGAAAAAAACATATTTAGAATTTGAAGTAAATTTTATAACTAAATCTATAATTTTTCAGAACTAAAAAAATCAAATTATTTTTTTACAGAGAGCAAGTTGATACTTTTATTAATCAGAACATGTTTTTCTTCACTTGAAAATGCATTTTCTTTATATAAAATTGAAAGCTATATTAATTATATATTTAATATTATTACAAGTATTAAATTAATATTAGATTTATATTTGTTATTTAATGAATATCTGTAAACATAGAATATTTTACAATGAGCTTCCAGAATATTGGGAATACTTTTTAAAAATACAATAATACAAAAACCAATTAAAACCAGATTTATAATTCTAAGCTAATAAAATTATTGAAATATATTGTATATTATATCAAAATTCCAAGTGATTTCAATAACTAATTCAAAATATATATAAATATAAAAAATAGAATTTAATATTAAACTGAAATTTATATGAAAAAATATTTTATTTTATAAAGATGCAAATATCTTTATATTTAGTAATCAAATTAAATAATTTTATATTATCAAATTTATTAGATTAAGATATATCTAATAATATCAAAATTATATAATTTTGATTATTAGATATAAAGATACTATTACAATTATGTTATAAAATTCATTAATTCTATAATTTATAATATTTCATGAAATTATGAAAATCATGTAAAGAACTTAGAATGTTTTACAATTTTCTTATATATTATTTATAGTATTTATATATTTTTATTTTTTTACTTTGTACTCCTATACTTTTTATATTTTTTCTATCTTATACTCCTATACCTTTTATACTTTTTCTACTTTTTCTACTTTGTACTCTTATACTTTTTATACTTTTATACTTTTTCTATTTTATACTCTTATACTTTTTACTTTTTATACTTTTATATATTTATATTTTTATACTTATTTATTCTAAGTAGAGATAATTTAGCCAAGCAAAATTCTTTGAGATTTATACTTTTCTTCTTTATTTCTTTACTTTATATATTTAGTAAATTGGAATTCTATTTTTAATTAGTATAATTATCTTTTATATCTTTTCCTTATTTTTAATATTATATTTATATTTTGAAGAAAATATATAAATATGAGTTGTAGTTAAGCTTTAACTCAACATGTCAAAACTTGAGAATAAATAACATAATAAAATAAATATCTTTTAATACTTAAATAATTCACATTTCTCTCTCAAAAGTATACTTCAAATTTTGTGAACAAGTAGTTTTGAGATTGTATTAAGCTGATCAAAATGTTGATATTGAATTATTGAATTAATATTTGTTATAGACTAATCTTTTGATATTTTTGTTATAATTAAATTATTTGGAATTTCTCAATTAAAGATATTATAATCTCTTTCTTGTGAGAAGAATGAAATGAAAGAGTCTTTATTACTTTTTATATTTTTGATACTTTAATTAGTTAGTTGAATTGTTAGTCACTTTAATTAAATAATTCATAAATTAATTAATTAGTATAGTTATTCAGAATATTATATCTAATTAAAATACTATTATCTTATTCTTTTCCCCTCTCGAATTATAACAATTTCAGTAAAAATTGATATAGGACTTAGATATTATTTTTATATTCTTTTTATATTTTTTTAATTACCTCTTCCAACTTCTATTTATATTTATTAGCTAATTATTCAATCAGTAAAAAATGTGTAACAAAATTATATCTCAAAAATATTATACAAAAATCAAAATAAAATTTTTTAAAAAAAATTTTGAAGAAAATAGTTTTTTGTGAATATTTTCATATTTAATAAATCAAATTAGATAATTTTAATATCATTGAATTTATTTAGTTAAGACAAATCTAATAATATTAAAATTATTTAATTTAATTTATTGAATACAAAAGTATTCACAAAAAACTATTTTTTTCAAAAAATTTTATTCCAATTTTGTATATTATTTTTAAAATATAATATTTTTATATCTAGTTATAGTAATAATAATAATTTTATAAATTTGAAAAAAACTATAACTTTCAAAAATAGCAAAAAAACAAAAAATCTTTAAAAATATTAAAAATATGAAAAATAATAAAAATAACTCATTAGATATTATTTTATCTTTTATTATATTATCTTTTATATTACCTTTTCATTAATTTATTTTTTATTTTATCTTTTCATTATTTTATCTTTTATTTTATTTTTTTATTATTTTATCTTTTATTTTATCTTTTTATTATTTTATCTTTTATTTTACCTTTTTATTATTTTACTTTTATTTTATCTTTTATTATTTTATTTTTTATTTTATTTTTTTAATTAATTATTTTATTTTTAGATAATTATTATATTTGAAATTGTATTTTCAAAAAAATATAAATAAAAGTGTTATCTGAATTTTAATTTGACATATTGCAAATAAAAAATAAAATTCTCTCTTAACAAAAATTTTCTTTCAAATAATATTCATCTTTTTTACTTTTAATTATATATCAAAGCTTATATACAAGTAGCTTTGAATTATATTATATTAAACAAAATGCTAATAATTTTATATTATATTATACTAAACAAATTACTATTATTGACTTAAAACTTTAGATTATATTATACTAAACAAATTATTATTATTAAATTATTAGCTTTATATCATATTGTACTGAACAAATTATTATTATTGAAATTATTAATTTTGAATATTAAGTATTTTAATTTTTGTTATTTCATAAGAAAAACAAAGTAAAAGAATTTTTTTATTGTTATTATTAATTATATTATCTTAACTCTAGAAAGTTTTATACAAGTACAAAGAATTAGAATCTCAAAATTTTTTTATTATTTATTTTCTTTATTATTTTATAATTTTCTTTTTTTTATATTTACTCTTCCATAACTTTCTTGTATTATTATTATTTTTTTGAATTATTATAATTTTTATAAAAATTAGTATTGTTACCATTTTGATGGAGCTTTTGAAATACTCAAAGGTATTTATAAAATTTAAGAAATATTCAAAGGGAAACTTCCAATGTCTTAACGACAATTCAAAGT